TGCCGCGGTGCTGACCCTGTGTGTGTGTCACAGGTACGGCGAGGTCGTCAACATCAACCTCGTGCGCGACAAGAAGACCGGGAAGTCCAAGGGCTTCTGCTTCCTGTGCTATGAGGACCAGAGAAGCACCATCCTGGCAGTGGATAACTTCAATGGGATCAAGGTGAGTGGAGCTCAGGCGCTGTCGGGGCTCCCCGGGTGCTCCCTCCCGTGGGCAGCGGCCCGGGGCGCCGGGAGCCGGCGGTGACAGCCCGGCCCCGCAGATCAAGGGACGGACCATCCGCGTGGACCACGTGGCAAACTACCGGCCCCCCAAGGAGTCTGAGGACTGGGATGACGTGACGAGAGCCCTCCATGCCAAGGGCTGCGGGGTCAAAACGCCACCCCACACCTCGTCCGACTCCGCGTCTGAGGATGAGGATGTGCTCGTGAAAAAGCAGAAAGGTAAGGAGTGTTCCTGGCAGGCTGGATCCCAGGTGGACGTGCCCGTGGTAGGGTCTGGGGGCTGGAGTCTGCGTGGAGAGAAGGTTGGAGAAACAAAAGAGGGCACAAAATGAGGGTGGGAATAAGATATTGCTACAGAGTGCTGAGGAGATGCATAAAAATGAGGGAGAAGGAGAGCCATGAGGGAAGAGTCCTCAGGTCTGGAGAGGTAATTTCCACAAAGTGGATCACATTATTACTGAGGAAGGGGAATGAAAGGGAAGTTGGAAATTCTCAGCATTCCAAGTGGTGTGGAAATGCCCAGAGTTGCTGGGAAGAATGTGATGTGAATGTTAAAGAGAGAAGTGGAGTGGGTGCAGCTGGAGGAGAAAAAGTTGTGATTGGAAGTGAACTGGGATCTCCCTGAGGGGGAAGCAGGCTGGGAAATTGGGTGGAGGGGGAGAATTTGTAATGAAAGATGAGCTGGGATGGTGCCAGGGGAGCCATGGGGAGCAAGCTGCTCCTGGAGTTTGGTCCATCCCGAAATGTGAACCCTAATTCCAGAGAAGCAACAGAGCAGAGCAGAACGGTCCAAGTCGAGCCCACAAGCCGGGAAGCGGGTGAGCACGGAGGAGCCCCATGCCAGGATCAAGATCAAGAAGGAGAAGGAGGACCCGGGGTACGAGCGCTATGCTGGCGGGAGCGCCGGGAGCAGGACGCAGCGGGATGAGGAGCAGCGGCGGCACCAG